GCTGCTTACACTTACAACATAAGTGCACTTCCACAATTATGCAATAAACCAAGATTTTATTTATCACTGCTGGGCTCTCACTTCACTTCACTTAGTTTTTATATCTCACTGACTGGCGACTCCCCGTCTCTTACATATTTGCAAGAGCATGGCTGTAACCATTCTAGAAGGTTCAAGGAAAATGTAGTTTTCAGAAAATTTGGAAGGTTTCATGAGATGCTACAAAGGTTCACACTATACTAAGAGGTAAGTGAAAATTCAGTCCGCATACGGAATATCTGCAGCATTTTACTTCAAATATTCAATTTTCTTTTTTATCGCTAACAATAAAAACAGTACCTCAAGCCTGGCTCTCCCAAGCCCAGCACCCCAACCAGTTGACTTCCCCTAAATTTGGCACTACCTACTGCCCCCTCTGAAAGGATATCAGAAAATCCACCACTTATTAAACTGGCCTGAGGAAATCACTTCAAAACAAAAATAAATGACTTTTTGGGACAATCATAGAAACAATAAAGGTCTGAAAAGAATAGTTAAATGACACAACTATTTTACACTTTTAGATATTTGAGATTTTTTGTTTGCTTGTCTGTTTAAACATATGACTAAGCAAACATAAGCGTATTGCCTTCATGTTTATTTTACTTAAAAATGAGAATAAAAAGGCCTGAAATGGTAATAACTTTTCAATGTTCATTTGGGATCTTTAAAAATTTTGTTTATTTTTATAGAATAAGAAACTTAGTATAGTATATGCTCTTTGTATGAGGCATTAATAACATGCCACTTGCAGATTTCACAGTGAGAGTCAGGGGAAGGGCTCTGTTAATTTTCGTTACATTACCACTAAGATGAGGATGCTCACAATCATCTTGACATCTCATTAAAATGTAAATATAAATCAAGGTACAGCAGCTCAATAGCTTTCTGACAGGGTATAGGCAAATTTAGAGCATAAGGTTTAAGGAACAGAGACTATCATTTGTAATATGTATGTGCACTGCTGAGCAAAATAGGATTTTTATTCTTGATTGTGCCCTCAGCGAACCAGATGTTAAATAAATAATAAACATTTAATAATGACAACAGCAATAACAACACTTTTAACCACTGTTTTGGGGATACACTTAATACCCCCAAATTCATTAGTGTTTGGGCCAACAGTACATTTATTTTTGAGATGAAGTCTTGTTCAATATTAAACAGTGACACCTGAAGTAAATAAATGTTCAGCATTAATGGTATCGGAAGGGAATCCCATCAATTCCTTCTCACTGCAAGGAAACCCCATCATAAGGCTTCAAGACCAAGTAGTTTAACAGTAGGTATATTTTAAAACAACCTTTAGATTCCAGCATGAATGCAGAACTATTCAGGGAAAAACCGTCACAGTGAACACTAACTTAGTGAAAAGGAATGTGTCCCAGGGCTGATACATCCCAATGCCTTTTGGGGTGGCTGTGAAGTCTGTGGTAATCTCTGCAGCTGTGACATGTCTTGTATGGATGTCTAGATCTGGTCTCATTTGGCTGGCCTCCCAGCCTTGGAGCACAAGCAATCCACTTGCTGGAGCTTGCAGTACATCTCCTTCTTCTCCAGGCAAGGCTGAGCTCCTTTCATGCCTTTTATACCCTCTTCTGCTATCAAAGATGTGCTAACCCCTAGTATACTAGTGTGAGGCTGATACACCTCACCACAGAATGGCATAAAAATAGTATTATCTGTGTAGGACTTATAAAGAATTAGTCATATTTTTGTATTAGTGTTTCTCTAGGTAGAGTATAATGAAATTCCTAACCTAAAACCATGTAGCACACGAGTGTGTTGTTAAAACTGAAGGCCTGAAACATTGTAGAAAAAGATGCAATCTGTTTAGGCTGGCAAGCACACTAACAACTTAGCAACATGATATGAACAAGTATTTGGAGAGTCATGATATCCTGAAGTATAGTTGGTTTTAACCATTGTATAGAAGATATAAGAAAAGTGTTTCAGTAATAGCATGGGATAAATCTGAAGTCAGGCATGTGTCACCTCTTAAAAAGAGAAATCTAAGATGAGGGAAGATTACTGTTGAATGAAGGATATTCTCTCAGTGAGTCTGGCCCAGAGGATGTGACACCTATTCAGTGCTTGAAGCAAGAGAGACCAGAAATCCTTCAAGACGTCCAAAAGCTAATGCATTTCCTGGGATACAATCATGAACTCACAAGAGTCCATTTGTACCTTGCTAAAGCCGTTTATGAAGTGTTTCTATGCATGTGTTTCTGTGCCTTCCTTTTCTTCAGAGTGCAATGCCAACAGCTGGAGAAATATAGATAGTAGATTGACTAGTTAACGTGCTTTGTTGTCTCATTTCCAGATGCAGTAGATCAAAAAATCACTCCCAAAGTCAAGGACCAAGAGTGAGAAGTTCTGAACACAATCAACTCTTATTGTAATCAATGAGAGAGCCGAAATCCCAATTTCAAAGAAAGCTAAAGACATTGAACAGCAGGTCAGCAAGGTTAAGTGTTCATTTATTCAGCCCCTGTTGTTGAATGTTGGTATTGATTTTATAACAAAAGCAACTAATCCCCTTCAAAAGTCAGGTAATACTTCACCCCACAATGTTTACACAGTTTCCATTAAAATCAACAGGAGTGGTGCACATATCTTCAAGGGAAGAATTGTGTTTCTCTGTCTATGTCTAGACTGCAGTCTTGTTTCGTAAGAAGCTTTTCCAGAAGAGATCTTCCGAAAAAACTACTTCTGAAAGAGAGCGTCCATACTGCCAAAATGCATCGAAAAAGCCATCTGCTTTTTCAGAAGATAGCATCCACATTGAATGGATGCTATCTCACATTTCAGGTGTGATTACTATGGACGGAGTGGCTACCAGGGCACTTGTGCTTTTTCCTTTTTCCTCGTCTTTTGAAAGAGCTCCCTCTTCCCTGTCCACACACTCTCTTTCGGAAAAAGGCTTCTTCCTTATAGAAAGAGGTTTACCAATGTCAGAAAAACCCCTCTGTTCTTTCGATTTTTTTTCAAGAAAACCTCTGCAGTGTAAACATAGCCCATGTGTATGTTTGCTTCTTTAAACAAACCTCTCCACCTGTGAAAATTATCAGCCTAATCCATCATGCAAATGGAAACTCCCATTGACTTCAATGGGTCTGTGAAGAGGCATATCAACTCCACACTGGGACTGAAGGAGTGAACCTGGCCCAGCTGGCTGAGAGGACTCCACCCCTACAGCCCTGTGGGCATGGGCCAACTGGAGGCTGTCTATAAAAGCCTCTGGAGCCTGCCACTGGGGAAGGAGATGCTGTGGGAGCTTCTGGGGAAGAAGTACAATAAGACCAAACAGTGGCAGCCTGGCTGAGAGGTACTGCAGTAGAAGCCTCTGGACCAGGGTGTGAAGACAGAGAGGACTTCTTATAAGAGCCAGCTTAGTCTCGGGTGGGGAATTGCTCCCAGAGAGCTCAGCATGTTGCAGCAAGATTCCCTGCTGAGTGAGCAGTGAACCGTGCCACTGCTAACGGGGCCCTGTGCTGGGACCCAGCGGAGAGGGAGGACCTGGGTTCCCCTACCCTCAGTTAGATATCCCACACGTGTGGGAGCTTTTCCTATGATATATTGACTGAGGCCACTGGGCCGTAATTCCCTGAATATAGGAGACGTGCATACTAACTGAGGCCACCAGGCCATAATACCCTGATTACAGAGGGTGTGCATATTGACTGAGGCCACTGTATTACTAGTTATAGGCGTCAACAGTGAAATACCAGTATTATAAGGCTAGTTAACAACTGGGCTATAATACCCTGAATACAGGGGGTGTGCATACTGACTGAGGCCACTGGGCCATCCAGTGTACTCATCTGTGGCTGCTGGGCCATATTATTCTGAATTTTAGGACACTCAGTCCAGAGAGGGAGATTCAAGGGGCCTCTGAGGGTCTGTCACCACCCTCACCATTGGTCAAGCAGCCACCCCTCAACAGGATCTTATATTACACACTAGGGATGTTAAATATCGGTTAATTGAATAGTAGAGTAACCTCATGAATTCTTTTTGGTTATTCGACTATTCTATAGTCCCCAGGGGTGGGGCTGACAGCTAGTGCACTCAGGCCCCACTCCCAAGGAGCCCCCTGTCACTTTACGTTGGGATGCCATGCAGGAGCTGGTCTGCGGGGGGAGCCAGTTTAAAAACCAGCTCCCCTCATGGACTGGCAGCCTCAGTTAGTATGCACGTCTCCTATATTCAGGGAATTACGGCCCAGTGGCCTCAGTGAATATAACCCCGTGCTGCTGACTCTGGGTGGCAGGAGCTCCTGGACCCGGTGTGAGCCAGAACTGAGCCTGCGCTGCCTGCCCGCTTACCTCCTAATAACACTTTAAATGCAGAGCCACAGTGGGAGTAGGTCCCAGACCCATCACAAGCCAGGAATGAGACAGGCTGCTGGCCAGCCTGCTAAAAAAAATTCCTGGTGGAGTGGGGGAGGGAAAATGCATGTAGTCAATAGCATTAACCTATAAGCTTTTGGTTATCGGTTAATTGGTTAATCGACTACACTATTACATCCCTATTAGGCACTATGACTCTCAGTCTTTCTGTTCAGGCATAAACTTACCATTGACTGAAGTAGGAATGAGTCATATTAAATGGCTGAAGAACCACAGCTTTTTTTTAATAATTAATTAAATGGCATACAACAAAATTAACAATGAATACCGTTAAATAAAAGTTTTTATTCTGAGAAACAAATTACTGATTTATTCGTTGTGAGAATTCACATCTTTTTCTGTTCTTTGAAAAAAGGTGAGTTTAGTGCAATGAATTGCTGCATTTAAATAATAATTCACGTTGTTTTTTAAAATAAATTTAACACTCAGTTTTATTTGGGAAAAAACAAAGAAAGCATTTAACAAAGGTAAAAAGAGAATTTTATGGAATATGCTTTTAAACATTTCTAAATATTTTAATGGTTTTCAAAAACACATGGTTTGATAGAATATAAGAACCTCATTCTTCCAACACACAAAAAAGAACTTTATTGCAATAAGAAAAACAGCATGATCTTCCAACAACTTTGTCTCTCTCCCCTAATTCATTGAAGTGCTTTATTTAAATCACACCCTCCTTCACGTTGACATCCCTATCTATAACTGTATATATCTCATTACAGACAGCTACAATTCTAGCAGCATTAGTTATTTATTAGAATCCTAAAGCATCTGTTTATTTTATAACTGATATGTTTTAATCCTGTTTTATACCACCTGAATTCAGAAACTAAAAAGTACTCTAGTCCATTTTTAATATTTATTGCTTTGTCCAATCTACTTTCTAACTGGTTTCTTTTCTTCCTGTGTTCCTGTCACCTTTCTGTATTTATTATTATTTGTAAAGTTCCCTGTGGGTTTGAGAGTCTGTGTCTGTTTCCCTGGTCCTATTTTCAGAGACAGCACCGAGAACATTTATTAAAAGTAAGTCATGTTTAGATGTTAGAAGGTTGCTTAAAACCCCAAGGGGTTGTTGAGCCAAATTGCAAACTCTAGGGACTTTTTCCCTCCTTCAACAGAGCAAATTAGCAGAAAGGTCAGTAACTTTAGAAAATTGCCATGAGTAAGAGATTCAGCATGTGATAAATGTAATCCATTGCCAAAGATCCAGGGGGATTCCAACATGATAAAGTTATTTGTGGGATCATTAGACATTGCTCTTCATATCTCAGCTGTCTCCAAGTCTCCTCTCCAGTGCACAAATTTATTCACTAAAGGCTCTATTCATTTTTGTCATGGAGACAAGAACACTGAAAAACAAATGTGTACTCATCTGTCCACCCAAGCCTCTGATAAGATTCAGAAATTATTCCTGCCCAGTTATTCCTGTATAACGTGTATGGCAATCAGGTCAGAGAATTTCATTAAAATGCCCATTTTATGCCCAAACCCACAAGTTCCACTTTAAGTGTCTATTTTGTTGTTCTGGACATGGAAGACTTGTGGAATATGAATCCTTGAGCAAATGGAAGAATTTTATGCCCAGTTTGGCCACATCTTTTTCTGGTTATCCAGAGGAAGAGATCTGAAAGTGGTCCAAAAATACCATCAAGATAAATATTAATGTTGAACCCAGCTTTCTAGTCTAAGATTGTAGTGTAGTTTTTTGCAAGCTTTGACTAATACTTATCTTAATATAGATGGCAAAATCCAAACGAGTTTCAGTTCCCCATCAGTGAAATGAGGATAATAGAACTTCTCTACTTCACTGGGGTATTGTGAGGATACACACCTTAAAGGGTGTGAGTCATTCAGTTGCATAGGAATGGAACCATAAAAGTAGTTAAAGTAAATAGGTTGCTCACAAGGGAATCAAAGTGAGCAAAGTACCAATCTAATAAACCACTAAAGCACTTGCTTAAATTTTAAAATGTGAGTATGAGTAGCCCCACTGAAGTGAATGGACTTACTTAAGTGCTTAAAGTTAAGCAAGTGCCAAAGGGCGTTCTAGATTAGAACCGAAGTATTCACAGAACAACAATACTTCCCTTGAGGTCTTAAAAGACATACATGCTGGGTTGGGTGTTGGCATGTAGGACATTATTTAAGACTAATTGTTTAATTAGGTAGTGTGATAAAGTGTTCATCACATACCGCCCTTGAAGGGGATAGAATGGCTCAGATGGGGCTACTTGACAGGATGAAGTAGGTGAGGTATAAGCTCAAATATTGCCATTGGTGAACTTGATGCTCAAATGATTGAGAAGAGGAAGGGTCTGTATAAAGGTAGGGAGAGGGCCGAGGAAAGGGTCTGTAGTGGGGGAGTAGTCACTCTCAAGTTTGAGAAAAAGAAGTAGGAAGAAGCCTAGGGAAAACACAGCAAAGGTAAGATGGCATGTCCATTAGCTGCTGACTGTAGAGCCCCTAGGCTGGCATGCAGTGCAAACAACAGACCTGATGTCCCCTATCAGCCACTGGGGGAATGGCATAGATAGGGCTGTAGACTGCCTGACACAGTTGGTTTAGACAGACTTTGATAACTTGAATGATGGGAAAACCATAGTGACCTGACCAGAGGGCCAAGCTATGAAGAGAAAGCATGACCAGTTGAGGGGTAGAGGAAAAGCCACAGAGACTGAGACATGGGGCTAAGAAACTACAAGAGGAGATGTCACACCAGTGGGGATCTAATCTCCAGACAGGCCACAAAACGGCACCTTAACAGTGAGAAGAGCAACCTCCGTAACAGTAAGAATGCTTAGTTTTTCCAGGATGCCATACCAAGCAACATTTCCAAAATGATTGTGTGTGATGAAAAATTACCTCTTTAAAATCTTGCCATGTGTCTTGGTAAATTTTTTTTTATCCTTTTAAGGACTCTGAACATTCCCCATCCTTCCCTTACACCCTCTTTAAAACTCTATTCTGTACTTATCCTCACACTCACTAAGAAGAATTGATTAATCAGACATGATTAATCAGCAGAGGGATATGGAAATTGGAAGAAGGAATGGGATGTGATTACTACCAGGCTAGGTCTTCCCTCAACCCCTTTTGGCACTCCAGTGATAATTTTATTAGAAAATGTTCATGACCTCATTCCTTTCCTTGGATGGTGTGTTTCTCTATTGTAAATTCTTCCTACATATTGACATTGGCAGAGACTTGAGCCAACTGGTAATGGTTTTGTTCCTGCTAAAAAAAGGATTGTGTGTCCTTGACATGTCACTGGATTATATAAATATTCGCTAAGAATAATGTGGGCCTCAATGCTGTAGCTTTTAGTTCTCAGACTAGGACAACTGGTATATCTGACAGTAAGATGTGGCTTGTTTTATAAAATTGAGGGGGGGAGGGAAGCATGACAAATGTATATATTTAGTAAAATATGTTTACAGGATACCCCAGTTTAATTTGAGAACTCTACCATCATGGAGAGCCCAAAGATATTACCCTGCACATATGACATAGCTATAGAATTAATATTGTTAGTGTTTTAACATTGAAACCCCTGTGTACACCTATAGTGTTCCATAGATAATAAATAGCATCTGTTTTACTGACTGAAGTTATATATATTCTAATAACCATAGATTTGAATTTCTACTTTATGGGCCTGGGAATTAATAGAAAATTTATTCTTTTTGGAGCATGTTGTCATTTGATATTTGACATTCTAAGACTATTCTATCAAATGTAAAGCAGTAGCAGTAACGTTAAGACAACAGGAATGTACTAATATTTTGGGAAGGAAAGAAAGAATGTGTTTCCACTCAGGTCTATTAATCAAATTTGGTAATCTTGGTCACCTGTTTAGTTAGCTAAATAATACACCCCTATTCAAAGCAAAGAATACATGAATAAAATCCACACACAATACAAGTAGAATCAAGTCTACCACTAAAAATGCACTCCACCTTGAAACTCAGCTTTTCCCAGCTCACCATCTGTCCACTGAGAAATCTTCACCTGAAAATGCTTGGGAAAACAGATATAGCGTATCTTTTGTTTCTTTCTCTGGGTTCCTAAAACCTATTTCTTTTTCAATATATTTATATTTTCAGGATCTCCTGCTGTTTGATTTAGATGCAATATAATCATCTTCAGTAATGGAGAAATTGTTGCATGAGATCAGACAATTGGTCCATTTGTACTCTGCTTCTAGCAGAAATCAGCACTTGATGCTTCAAAATATGACAAACACATCTTTATCACACCTAATGCTGGACCTGATCCTACAAAGATGGATTCTATATAACAAGAGTAGTTCTATTAACTTCATTGGGACTAGTCACAATGTGAATTGCAGGCTTGGGGCTCAGCTGTGTGCTAGCTTATGGAAGGAAGTGTAAAAAACTCTTCCTGACTTCACACGTGCTATTCGACTATCTCATTAAGCAACCTGATTAGACTGTCACCAGAGAAAAGATCCAAGGTTAAAACTAAATCATTGAGTTTTCCAGAAAGATATTTATTGCCCAAAGTCACCATAGCTGATGGAGCAAATTTCCCTCTCCAGTTTGCAAGAGCGTTTCTACTTTGGAAGAAGAATGCCCACCCTCTGCATAACCAGACCTTACTATTCACCTTGAGCAGACATATTCTATTGAAATAAATGGCAGGAATAAAACACCAAAGCTCTGTCCCTAATTAGCATTTTATTTTTCCTGGAGTACACTGTACACTTCATATGAACTTGCAGGTTGGCAACTGTGTTTCAAGAGCTAGATTGACTGAGACACTTTTACCAAATCAAACCACCGGGGGGAGATGCTGGCACAGGACCCTGGCTCCTGGGAGTGTCTAGACCACTTTCCTCTCCGTTGGCTGCAGTGTCTCTTGGGAGGAGAACCCTGTGGATATTGATGTCTAGCCACAGATATCCACATCCATGGGTAGACATTTGTATTCACGCAGACTCTAGCTTTAAAAGGCCTTGGAAACACCTTCATTGTGCCTCTTTCCTAATCCAGCCTCTTTCCTGCTCAAACCTCTGTCTGCACTATAGATTTATACTATAGGTTGCACTTCTAAATTCAGCATTCTCTGGTCCGGCACCATCCATGGTCCGGCATGACAAGAGATGTTCCAAGATCAGAGAGTCCCAGTGTGCTTCTGGGGAGTGGGAGCCCAGGCGCTGGCGAGCGGCTTAACTGGGCTGTGATGGGGGAGGAGGGCTGGGAGCCAGCACACAGCTCAGTTGGGCTTGGAGGTGCAGGAGCTGGCATACGGTTCATTTGGGTTGCAAGCAGGATGGATGGGAGATAGTGTATAGCTCAACTGGGCTGAGGGGGAGCCAGGAAACCATGTGATGGAGGGTAGCGGGGGGAGGAGAGGACAGGAAGGGAAGGGAAGAGGCCAGCAGCAGGGGGCCTGAAATGACTTCCCCAGTCTGGAAAAATCCCTCATCCAGAACTAGTCATGTCCAGAGGGAGCCAGACGAGGGAGGTGCAACCTGTAGCAGCATTTTAACAAAGGGACTGAGGTTCTTCCAATCATTTGGAAACAACCAGAGACATGGCTTAAGCCAGCAGTTTATTCCATCACTGATACAAGCAGTAAACCCAAAACTGCAATTATTGTATGTATTTGATTCCTTTAACCAATTTCAGCTTTCACCTTTCTTTCTATAAATAAGCTTTTAGAGTTTAGATACTAAAGGATTGGCAACAGCATGATTTTTGGGTAAGATCTGAGTTGTACATTGATCTGGGTATGCAGTTGGTCCTTTGGGATCAGAAAAACTGGTTTTGATTAGACTGGTTTTAAAGAGCCACTTGTCTTTAAATCCAGTGTTGTGGGGCGGTGGGGAGGGGGGGGTGTAGAAAGACTGGAATGTTTCAGGAAACTGTCTTTCTGATTTTTTATTAGTGTTGTGAGACAGAAGTTTGCTTTTTGTGACGGCTTTGATTTATCATTTGGCAAAATTACCCATCGTATTTTGGGGTGCATTTGCCTTCTTTCTGAGCAGTGTGACCTGATTCTGGTGTTCTCAGTTATGACCCACAAAAGCCTGATTCTACATGGTAATAAATTTCAGCAAAACTTTGGAACATATGCCCTAGAGGTAAGAGGCATTTATCTAAATATAAATCCATGCAATCACATTGTCCCTCAGAAATCGTTAGTTCTCAGTGTGGCCGTGGAATGGCAATTAGTACAGTAGCCTCCTTAAAGAAATAAAAACAGTGGATTTTGCAGATAAATTCAGTGAAATTTCTGAAAGTCACTGTTAAAGGCCCAGATTACACATACAGTCAAGGATTTAAAATACCTACCAAGGATCAATTCAGGACTCCAGTCTTCGGAATGAAGTGTTAAAATAGCATTGCTTGGTTATATTTGGAAGTGGAAACAACTCAGTGAGGCTGTGTCTAAGGGGCGGGGGGGGTTTTTTTTAGCTGAATCATGCCCTTATTGATATTGGTCTTTCATTTATGAGATGAGCTCATTCACATTATTCCCAGCAGGTGAAAAGTGAATGCACTTGCCTAGCAGCATGAAGTGGAATCTCATCAGCACACACAGCTAAAGACATTGCTATTTGCTGTTGATAAATTTATTCCTTTGAAAACAAGGAACACACTTCACATAGATCAGTGTTATTTTAAAATGGATCTCCCTTATTGAAAACTAGAGTAACCATGGAGCTACACTCACAAAACAAATAGCTTAAGAAAATGCTAATTACACAGTCTGGACTCAGTTCTGCCCTTCTTTACATTTGATTGCTTACAATACCTAATTACAATGGCTGTTGGCACCTGTGTACCAGCCAGCATAACTGGCCCTTAACTTAAAAACCTATAAATGTTGGACACTTTTTATTCAGAAGGTACAGGCTCTAGTCTTCTTTATGGTGGACTCTGAAAATAATATTTATCTTTTACATAGCACTTTCAATCCACAGGCTCAAAGCTCTTTAATTAAGGAGAGTAAATGCTGGCATTGGTATTTTTATAGATCGGTAAACAGGGCCACAGAAAGGTGAAGTGATTTGGCAAAGTTAGAGGCAGACTCTGCCCTAACAACTAGGTGATAATGAGCAAGGTGCTTTGGTGCATAGGAGGTAGAAAGGCACTGACCCAGGAAGAAGGAAAGAGAGACACAAATGTGAGAGGAAATCAAGGTTCATTCAGACTGTAAGAAAGGCAGAACACAGTAAATGAGCAATGATGTATTGGAAGAGATGGGCAGAAAAGTGGGCACAGTGAGTCTGTGCAGAGCCATAAAAGTGAAGATAGAAAACAAGTGATGGAATAGAAGAATGGGATAATATGATCAAGCCCCTAGGGGCACATCTACATAGCAGGGCAAAAGTTGAATTAAGCCATGCAACTTCTGAGATGTTTTTTCTTCATCCCTAATTTGGTTGTTAGGACATTTAAATATTTTTCCTTTTAAGCAAAGCAATCTCTATTTAATCCACATGGTACTCTATAATTATAGACACAGGTATGAAATAATTGCAATTAATTGTTAAATCTCAGACATCAAAAGTATTAAAACATATATTTAAAGTAAACAAACTAATTAACTAACTAACCAACCCTCAATTTACTGGGGATAAAGGGAAATTAACATGGTACAAAATCAAGCCTGTAAGCAGGAATTTCTGTGGGGGAGTGTAAGACATGGGAGGGACTGGTGGCTGGCTCCCCTCCCCCATGGCTCAGCGCCATCTCCAGCTTCACTCCTATGGGGTAGGGAAATCAGTCTCAGGCTTCCCCCGGCTGGCCAGAGCACTGGGGAGGGAGGCTGGGGCAACACGCCACTCTTGCCTTTCCCTAGCCATCTGGAGCACAGGTGGAAGGAGTCTGGGGTACTATGCTGCCTAAGTCTCATGCGTATTTGGAGGACCATGCGGCGAGGGGTGCATCCACACCCTTCACACACTTCCGGAGTACGGGCCTGTATATTTTCTTTTTCCATCAAATGTGCCAACCTTTTCCATATGAAGAGGTGGCCTCTCCAATTACTTGCTTCTTTGTTTAACTGAATAAAGGACAAGCTCCATATATTGCCCTTAAGGTTAACACCCATTATATGTTAAGATGCCGTGTTTATAGATCACATGGAGGTCACATTATTTTGACTTATAGTCTAAATCTACACCATTCTACACTTCTTTGTTTAGATATCTATTATCTTTTTCATGCTCACTAGAAGCATTGCTCCAAAGGCTTTTTTATTCAGTCTCTTCTTGGCCCATGTGGCACTACGCTGTTGAATCTAAGGGTGTTGTTATATCATCTTACTTCCCACTGTTCACAAAGGTGAGTGTTCCTCATTCCTAGTGCTTTGTTTTGGCTATGCTGGGATTTTAAGGCCTAAGAACTACTACACCCTCCATTCCCATAAAAGAAAATGCTATTCTCTGTTTAGATTGTAAGCAAAATCAGCTGTATCTTCACGGGAATCAATGCCAACTACATTATAACCATTTTCTTATTTTTCTTTGAACACAACACGAAGTCAGATTTTAGATCAGAGGTAGCTACTTCATGTGGCCAAAATAAGCCTTCTTTTCAGGTTCAATATTGTGTCCCCGTTGCCTTCAACTGCAAGAATTCCCTGTGGGGCGACTTCTTCCTTTTTATTGCTGTTCACAAAAGGAAAATCTTCTCTTGTCACAAATGCCTGCAAGTGCTTTTAAGACATCACCAGGTCCTCAGCAGACCTAGTTCTGGTTCACTGCTTTATTCCAGACCGATAAAATCTGCTGAGATGCAGCCCTCTTCCACACACACTAACTGTAGGCTAAAGCTGTTTCAGTGTTAAAAAATTAGGTGGTACCAGCAGATATAGTAGGCTGCTTTTAAACAGTGTTTTATATTTCGTAATGATATTATCTCCATTAGCCTGCTCAAGGAAATGTTCTTTACAGGATTCCATGTTATACAGTCTTCATCCCTGCTACCTTGAAAAATAAAAATAAAAATAACTTATGCATTCAAACATTCTACCTGCCTAACCCTAATTTGTTTTTCCTTTTTCCTGTCCCCTTCACATAATTAATTCATTATAAACTGAGCGGGGTGAATAGTGGTAAAATTTATTCACCACCAACTTTGTTAATTTCAGTTCACCAGTCAAGCCCATCTTGTCCACATCCTTGTCTGTTCTCTTTCATGAAAACATTCAGGGCTTGTCTACACTGGCAAGTTATTCGCCAACAAATTTTTTTGGCAACGAAACCTGGAGAGCATTCACATTGCAATGTGACAAAAGCTGAAAGAAATGTCTGGTTTATTGTGTAGTGGTCCTCATTGTGTCTTTTCAAGGAAAGAGGGGTGGCTGTCACTCTAAGGGTGTGTCTAGACCAAGTTGCCTTTTTTCGAAAAAACTTCACCCGTGTCTATGCTGCTACTGCATTCTTTCAAAAGTACTGTAAAATCTTGAGTATAATGCACACTTTTTTCCCATTTTTTTTAGTATCAAAGTCGGGGTGCGCATTATCCATAGGAGTTTTTTAAAAAGTTTTAAACTCACCCTCGGCAGGCACGAGCTGGGGGGGGGGGGGGCGGGACGGGG